AACCATTTTGCGTTCCTGGGGCTCCTTCAGTTAGAATCCAACAGCCTAGTATAAAGCCAATGCATGCTTGTGCAAATCCAATATTTCTTTTCCCTTCTTACTGGGGAGAAGGTTATCTAGATAGCAACCCCCTTCATTCATTTAAGCAAGGTGAGACACATTTCAGCAGTGTGTTCACAAAGCTTGCCGAAATGGAACAGGAGGTGCTCTTACAAACATCCTCCATTGCAGTGGAGCGGGTGAACAGGACATGCTGTTAGAACAAGCTGTATCTCTCTAATCTTCCTGTCTCCCACTCTGCTCCTCTTAATGTCACCGAAAGCCTCCCTTCGACTTGCCTTTTTATAGGACTGGCCTTTGTCAATGTACTATTCTTTAGGACAGCTTTCCCCCCACTGGTGCTCTTCAGATGTGTTGAATTGTAGTTCTTAGGTTGTGAGTTTCTGTGAATTGTACCACAGCACATCTGGAGTTTGGGGGAAACTGCTTTTGGAGTTGGTAGTATGCCTGTAATTATCTATCATTCCATAACAAAAAAAAAAATAGAATTCTAAAATTATCTAAAATTATCTAAGGAGAATTTTCAAATATATGCTGGAATCTGATAGCTGGCCATCATCGTCTCTAAACATGCTACTTGAAGTCCTTAAGGAAAAGGGTTGTAGCTTTGTTGCAAATGTATGCAATACATGTAAAAAGTCCTGAGTTCAATCCTTGGCATCATTGTTTAGGGCTGGAGAGCTGATGTATGTCCAAGGTAACAATATTGGCTACATAGACTAATGGTCTGAGTGTGCCATGGATTTAAAGGCAGCAGGGATATTTTAGCATATAGAGAAGTTAAAGATGAACCCTCACCTTCCAAAAAAGCATAATTGCAGCTCCATCCCATGGACATTAAATGGGCAGAGTGGTTTTTAATATGAAGGAATTAAACAGTTTAATTGTCCATCAGCGTTGCCTCCAAAAGAAATCCTGCAAATCTATTGGGAAGCCCTGGCCCTTGAGTGCTCTAGTTGGAGGTCAGCTGTGACCAGCAGTGCTGTAGAATTTGAAGAGGCACAAATGGAGGGCGAAAGAGAGAAATGTGCCAAGAGGAAGGCGTGTCAAGCCAACCCCGACCAACACTGTCTTCCACCCGGAAAACAATGCCCTCAATGCGGGAGAACACGCAGATCAAGAATAGGTCTCCACGGCCACCTACGGACCCACCGTCAGTACACCGATCTTTGAAGACAATCCTACTCGGACAACGAGGGATCGCTTAGGTAAGTAACTCAGCTGTTAGAACGCATGAGCTTTGCATTAAAATAATTGGTTATACCCAAATTTAGACCGTCTTAGTCATACTGAAATCATAGTTAAGCAATGTTTATTTCAGTAGTCAGTTCTAAGTATGACTAATTTGGCATCCAGCGCCATAATAATAGAAAATGAGTAATAATATCTTGGGATCTTCCTTTTCAGAAATAAAGTTGTCTTGCTTATTGAAATAATTGCCTTCCCAAGAACTCGTTCTCATATTTTTTAATGTTGCATGCTGCCATCTAACATACAGGCAGCCCCCTAGTTACAAACATCTGACTTACAAATGACTTGTAGGTTTTTGTGTGTGTCAGGAGCGACTTGAGAAACTGCAAGTTGTTTCTGGTGTGTGAGAATTGGCCATCTGCAAGGATGTTGCTCAGGGGATGCCTGGATGTTTTGATGTTTTACCATCCTTGTGGGAGGCTTCTCTCATGTCCCCACATGGGGAGCTGGAGCTAACAGCAGGAGCTCTCTGCGCTCTCTCCAGATTCGAACCTCTGACCTGTTGGTCATCAGTCCTGCCAGCACAAGGGTTTAACGTATTGTACCACAACGGGCTCCTGGCTTGTAGTTAAGAATGGGTGAGACAACAGGAAGTGAGAGAAATTTGAGATTGCACTCCACCCCATTTCAAACATTGCACAAATAGTTCCAGTTTCCATACAGAAATCATGGAGCTATAGGTTTGTTATGGGGTTTGGAAGATGTTTGGGCTTATTTGTGTGTGGGAGTGGGGGTGGGGGGTGGAAAACCACTGAGATAGCAATTTCCAGAACTCAAGAAGATACTTCTAAAATAGTAAGTTACAGTTCCAAGGCCAAAGCAGCTGCAGTTTAACAAATTTCTTAAAGTTACAAAAATGGTTACTTTTCATTGCTTTTTGGAAAATCTGAATGCTAGAAGCAGCCGACCTGTGGTATGGAATGCACACTTTTTCTTTCAGTATTTACAGTAAAGCAAAAGACCTGATGTAAAACTGTTCTTGAACCATATGCTAATTTTCCTTCTCTTCCTCCAGCATTTTGTGAGGACCTGTTACTATAAAGGTAACTTCAAGGTAAAGTAAAGTTGCAGATTTACCCCTTGAGTACAGCTTAGTTATACCCTTAGGGGACATGGTGGCATAGCAAGTTAAACCGCTAAGCTGCAAAACTTGCTGACCAGAAGGTCAGAAGTTCGAAGCCATGGGACGGGGTGAGCTCCTGCTGTTAGACCCAACTTCTGCCAAGCTAACAGTTTGAAAACATGCAAATGTGAGTAGATCAATAGGTACCACTTCAGCAGGAAGGTAATGGAGTCATGCCAGCCACGTGACCTTGGAGGCATCTATCTTAGAAACTGAGATGAGCACCACCTCCCAGAGTCGGACTTAACTAGACTTAATATCAAGGGGAAACCTTTACTATAAGGAGCCTTTGGGGGGGGGGGGGCAATGGGTTAATCCTTTGTGCTGGCAGGACTGAACACCGACAGGTCGTAGGTTCAAATCTGGGGAGAACGCAAATGAGCTCCCTCTGTCAACTCCAGCTCCCCATGTGGGGACATGTTTTGGCACCCAGAAGGATGCCAAAACATCAAAACATCCAGGTAGAGGCGGCCCTAGGTAATTTTCAACGGTAAGCAAACAGTATTTTGCCCCCCCCCCCCCAAATCATTGATATATATTTTCTGTTCGTCATGGGAGTTCTGTGTGCCATATTTGGTTCAATTCCATCACTGGTGGAGTTCAGAATGCTCTTTGATTTTAGGTGAAATATACATCCCAGTAACTACAACTCAGATATGTCAAGGTCTATTTTCCCCCAAGAGCTCCTCAAGAGCGCCCCTGGGCAAAATCAACTATACTGCAAATGCTTACTTTGCATAATGGGTTGAGCCACCCCCGCATCCAGGCTTCCCCAGGGCAACGTCTTTGCAGACGGCCAATTCTCTCACACCAGAAGTGACTTGCAGTTTCTCAAGTTGCTCCTGACACACACAAAAACCTTTACTATACCCTTACTGTCAGGAAAACGACATTGGTTGGCATCCTGCTAGGCAATTACCATGTTGCAGCCTTATAACTGTTTCATATTCAAACTGACATTTTTGACACCACTGCCATGACACAGACACCCTCAAATCCACCTTAAAAGCCAGGCAGCTGTGCCAAGGGAATTCTGTGGAGCTGAAAGCTGGTGCATCCAGCCCTCTCATGCCAGTGATGTGTGGTGTGAAAAGCAAAAACAGTCCTGCCATGACTCCTTGATGCATGATAATTCATTTTTGGAGATAGCTGGACACACCATCATTCAGCGTCCTCCTGGCCAGGATGGTATAACTCCATCCCTCAGTATGATTGCCTGGATTTGAGGATGGATTGGGAGAAGGGTCAGATCCACAACATTATAGCTACATGTCCAATGCAAGATCTCAATCGATTATGACTAGTAATCAGCTTTTTGCAACTATTAACTTGAGTTTTGCACACTTGATTTTTAACACAATACTTTGCATGCTCTTTGGAAGGCACAAGCTGTTGGGAAGCCAATTACTAATTTGACACAGCTATTAAAGCTCAATATTAGTGACTCAACACCTAACCCTCTCCTCCTCTACCTTTGGCTCCTTCCTGCTCCAAAACAGGAAATTTTTGAGAGAAAAAAACAGAAGTATGGAATAGTCGGCAGTGCAAATTCCATTCCTGCCAGTGGCAAACATAAAAGGAAATATGAAAGTGACAGACAATGGGAAACGGGACACAAAAAGCCACAGAGACAGAATGTTAGCGAAGCAGAAGGATTTCTAAACTCATTGGGGCACAACTTGGCTGGAGGACCTCTCCTGTGCAGACCCCAATAAAAGGGACGGGAGCTGCTCAAGAGCAAGGAATTTCCCAGCAAACGGTGCCTTCTAGCTCTATTTGCATCACCACCACCACCACCACCACCACCGCAACAATGCCTTGTTAGTTTCCTAAAGCACAAAGAGCAACATACATAATTTAATCAGGGGAAAAACAAACAAACACCATTCTCCCCCCTCCCTCTAAATATACTAGACACAACAGGAATTTCATTTTCTTTTCCTCTTCAATATTTATATATATATATTTATATTACGTATATTATATATATATAATATGTAAATATATTTCTTAAAACAAATATATAAAATGTTAAGACACTTCACTTAAATGTAAAGAGGTTGCTTTTTTGTTTTTTTTGTTTTTGTTTTCCATATTTGTTGGATCGTTGTTACAGAACATTTCATTTTTTTGACTTTTTAAAAAACTTTGTTATTGAAAAAAAGGCTCTCTCAAAATCTTTATACAAAAATGATTGATTTACAAAAAAGAAGAAAAATCATAAAAAAACCAAACGCCCACATTTTCCCTCCCGCCAAAAAATCCCAATAATAATAATAATAAAAAAAGACAAGCGAATCAACAAATCAAGGAATGATTAACATTGTTGTGTTGCATACAGACTCTCCATTTCTTTTATGGAAAAAAAACCCCACTCACAATATAATCCCATTTTGTGCATGTGGCCACATGACATGTCAGCTATTTCTTAATTTTATTCTCTGTGCTTAATATTAGAGGACATAATCCCACGGTAAGTTTTCCTGTGCCTACATAACTGGAAAAAAGTGGGAACTGTGTGAGAACACGGCCATGTATTTGTGCAGTTCTTTTTTGTTTAATGGCAACTGTGCAAGATCACTTGTTCCTCCTTTAGGCTGTGCCCTTACTTCTCTCTTTAAGGAACATTCCTCTCCCTATCCTGGTCTGTGAGCCTGAAAACACACATTCATATTACAATGTTATTTCAAAGGAAAAAAATTATTCATGGTACAAACTGGAGCTTAGAAAATGGTAATCATGATGGTACAAACTTAGAAAATGGTAATCATATATTGAACTATAATTCCGACGGGGAAACCTAGGAATTGTAGTCCAAACGGTACCATTTCCAAGCTCCGCTACAAACCATTCCTCATCTTTCTTGCCAGCCGACCAGTGATTCAGAACTTGGCGAATGATTCAGCCTTCGTCACGTAACATTCTTGCATTCCCACACCACACATGTCTCCTTCACTAGACAATATTCTTTTTTATGACCTGCTGTGCTTCCTGCATCCTGATTTTTTCTGCATCTCAAAGGCCAAGAAAGAACAGACCCCAATAACCCACTCAACTTTTCGCACAAAGCTAGCTTAGCTATTTGAATCCAGAATCAAAGCTCCTAAAGGTGTGGAAATGTAAGTAAGAAATAAGGAAAGATCCATCCAGTTGGGCTGAGCCTTCCAAAACCCACTAGTCCAAGATGCAACTTGTTTGTGAGGCACACGCACACACATACAATCCATTGGGAAATTATGCTATACATACATCCCACTGAACATTTCCTTAGCAATTTTGTCTTCCCTCCTCTACCCTGCTGTCTCTCAAGTACTACATTTGAGGCCTCCATAGATGATTAATAGAACCTGTGCCAATATTGTCGAAGGCTTTCATGGCCAGAATCACTGGGTTGTTGTAGGCTTTTTGGGTTATATGGCCATGTTCTCTCCTGACGTTTCACCTGCATCTATGGCAGGTTGTGAGATTCTGTGCCAATGAAAGTCTGCACAGTGGTTTTGCTTTTATATGGGGCTCCACCTTCTCATGAAAGAATCTCACCTTGATCTCCATGATCTGACCCACCTTCATTCCTATCCACCAAAAGCTCACGTTGAGGAATGACAGAGCAGCCTTTCATCTCCTTCACCCCACATTCTCCTTTTCCCTGACTACCCAGCTTCTTAGATACCCTGACACCCTCATCTCCCTGACTTCTGCCTCCTATTTGGTATTCCATGAATTTTGGAATCTCACACATCTGGTAACTAAACAGATATTTAAAGTGCTACATTTATGTGTCTCAATGTCATAGGAAGCATGACTTTCTGTTTCTGGACCCTGTTCTCAGCATCGTTCAGACAAAAAACCTGCTACCTCCTTCTTATAACAGTCTTCCCCCCCACCACTATTTTAACAGTTGGTTGCTTCTCCATGGTTGAAAAGATTGGGGGGGGGGGTTCACAGGAGGAAAAGTCAGTGCTTGTTCAAGTCTTTGCTCTTCTTCCACATTTAATCCAATCACTTGGAAGAAAAAGAACAGATATATCAATCTGCGAAACACGCACATACACGCATATCCCCCGCTCCAAGAACAGTCTTTGATACAGGTAGTAAAGAACAAAAAACCCACAAAATGGAAGCACATACATGCCCCCAAGTCAAAACACCATTGATTCATGAATGACTCAGCACACACCTACAAGGATCCATGTTAATCAATTAATTACAATTATATATATATATATTTATATATATTAACATAAGGAAATATGAATAGCAGCAAATATCCATGGGGTTCTGAGGCATTTTTAGAAGTGGGCTTCTTCCCCTTGTTTTTATATGCTTTTCCAGTGATTCTATTCCTTTCTACCCGTCCCTTTAAATGAACAGCAAAGACCACCATTAGCCAACAGCCTTATTATTATGTGGAACTGGCAAAATTCTTAACACTCTTTGTACTTAAATAATGTAAAATGTTAGAACAGAACAATAAGTTGGGATAAATTGGGAAAGCTTTGAGGAGAAACAGAAAAAAACAAGGAAAAAAAAGATATTGGTCGATTTGGAGAAGGAGATAAGAAACTGGTCATTGTGGAATACATTGTTGTGTTACAGAAAATGATCCTTTGGAGTACATGAAGTCTGTAGGTCAGTCATTTCGGAGGAGGAAGTGGGACCGCAGGTTGGTCATACTGAAAGGACCTTAAAATATGTCGTGGGGGACTTTTTTTTTAGGTGCCTCCGTAAGATCTGGGGAGGAAGAAATCATAAAGAGAGATGCACACCCTCCCCAGTCCCACAAAAGCAGCAGGTAGGAAAACAACCGATTGGAGATGTTGGCAACTCGACTTTTAAAACGAAATGGAGGAGTTCCGTGACCCAAAGGAAGTCAGTACTGGAATGGAGGTCCTGCCCGAAGTAGGCTTTTCTGAGACTGGGCTTGAAGTCTCATTCATCATGCTAGGATCCTTGGTTGATCTAGCGGCCTAGAAAGAAAAGCAAGATTCAGGGAAAAGAAGAAGGAGGAGGGAGGAAAAGGAGAAAGGTGGGGGGAACCAAACATTTTCTTCTCAAAGCTGAGAGAAAAAGAGAGAGAAGGAAAGTGAGAGAAAAAAGAGACAGAGTGGGGACTAGTTAGGAACATTTCTATCAGAAGCAGTAGCATTGGCTAGACCTGACGCAAAAGGTCCATATGACAAAACAGTACAAGATGAGCTGGTTTCTATAGGTTTACTAGACAATGGGAAGGTGTGATTGTTAGAGGAGGTAAAGGAGACAAAAAGAAGGCACCCCCAAAATAGACAGACGGGAACACAAACACGTAGGCAGGCAACAGAGGGGAGGGCAGGACAGGGAAGGGTAGGGCAAGAAAATGGGGAGGGACAAGAATTGAAATGTTAGTCTGTGGCCATGGACATCATGTTAGAATAACAACACTATTTCTTTCGCTGAAGAGAACTGAGGTAGGGGAGCGGGATTTGGGGATAGCAGGAGGGAAGGATGAAATGCAGGTTACTGCAGAGGTGCTGTTTACCAGAGGTAGCCCCAAATGGAGTGCAATTTTGTTGATCAATTATGTTGGAAATACTGATAGGTGCCATTTTGTTTTGGAGAGTATCCTCAACTTGCAATCCATAACTCAGTTTGGACCCAGCAGGAGGAAACCATAATTTATTTTTAACGGCAATTCTTGATACGGTTGCAGTTATAACTGCCAATGGATTTTTTTTTTGGTCGTGTCAGGAGCAACTTGAGAAACTGCAAGTCGCTTCTGGTGTGAGGGAATTGACCGTCTGCAAGGATGTTGCCCAGGGGATGCCTGGATGTTTTGATGTTTTACCACTCTTGTGGGAGGCTTCTCTCATGTCCCCGCATGGAGAGCTGGAGCTGATAAAAGAAACTCATTCGTGCTCTCCCTGGATTCAAACCTGTGACCTGTCAGTCTTCAGTCCTGCTGGCACAGGGGTTTAACCCACTGTGTCACCGGGGGCTCCTGCCAATGAATTTTTTTTTGTCGTGTCAGGAGCGACCTGAGAAACTGCAAGTTGCTTCTGGTGTGAGAGAATTGGCCGTCTGCAAGGATGTTGCCCAGGGACGCCCGGATGTTTTGATGTTTTTACCATCCTTGTGGGAGGCTTCTCTCATGTCCCCGCATGAGGAGCTGGAGCTGATAGAGGGACTCATCTGCCTCTCCCTGGATTTGAACCTGCGACCAGTTGGTCTTCAGGTCTGCCGGTACAGGGGTTTAACCCACTGTGTCACCGGGGAGTCCTGCCAATGTATGAGTAAGTGGGAAAGATATAGGGCAAAAAGCATAAGCGGATAAAATATAAAGCCATTATGGAAGTAGATGTTCCTTTTCTAATTCTTATTGTTAAAAAAACTTTTATTAAAAATCTTTAAAATCTTTTTTTTAAATTCTTTGAAGTTTGACCTTTTAAAGTTTGAAGGTCTTTCCCTAAAGATTTGTTTCAGCACAATAGTCTCCCTGTAAAAGGGAGTATATGTTGCATGCAACTGAAAGTCCTTGTGGAATTTGCATGAAAGATCCATGAGCAAAAACAGTCTGACATCTAGTTCGGAGACAAATGTGCTGGAAGGGAACTAATAGTTAAAATTCAATGTGGTGCCTAGGCAACAGGAGGAATCTGTATCTAATACTTACCCATCCACCTACATCTCTAGTAATGACTACTATGACTGGAATTATAACTTGTTGACTCTAAGAAGATCTCCCATTTCACTGTTAAGGGCAAATGAGACCTATTCTTAAAAGGCCTTCAGGATGATGTTTCTACAGGCTTTCATGTCTGTTCCTCTAAGGATATTCCACACTGGAGAAGATGTTTATGTTGTCTGTTAATCCATTAGTTGTCTTTTTTTTATCTGCCCACTCCACTTCTGAGACAACCTGGCAAAATGGTGCTACCTAAAAGAATCCCAAACCTTATGTGACTATGAAGCAGAACAGACAACTCCGCATCTGTATGCTTGTCCACTATGCCCTGCCTCATGTACAGAGGAAGAATTGTTGGAGGCTACAGACAATGCCATTGCTGTTGCCCGTTTTTGGTCAAAAGATATTTAGTTACCTGCACTCCTTCTATTTTTATCAGTTTTATACTAATTTGTGCAATGCTTTTGATACAAAATTAATTAATTAATTAATTCCATTTGTTCCTTAAAATATGTTAGTTATGCCAATTGTATCTCCACCTCCTACTGCTGACATTTTGATGCAAAAGGAAGCAAGAGCAAAAAATGCTTTGGAAACAACCCCAGATATGTCATGGGAAGTTCTCCGCTTCAACCACCTACAGACCACAGCAGGCGACTGTATCTAGTATACAATCTTGTTTCTGCTTCAGCACTACCTGGGTGAGATTCTGCCAGGCAACTGCATTCAGTTGCAAACCAAACCATGAAAATATCACTGGAGATGGTAAATCCTTAAAAGCATTCCATGGCTACCACTGAGCCAAACAGCACCTGTGCTTATGGCAAACCAGTTCAGGATGTGGTTAGTATTGGAGTGCCTGGGCTTAGGATGGAAGGAGTTGTTCAGGGAACTGGTGTTGAGGATGCATTTTTAGGCGACAGTCTCATTTTGCTCACAAAACAGGTCTCAAAATAGACTGAAAGGCCACAGAAGGGAAATACATTTCACAACCATCTATTCACCCTCTACAACTATATGGGGAAGCAGGGGTGATCTTTTTGCATTCATAGTAGTAGATAACAAGCAAAACAGAGGGTGGTATAGAGAGACATTGGGAACAGGAGAAATGAGGCATCCACAGTCATTGCCATTTATCATACAGCTCTAGCATAGCAAAACAGACAAAGTGCAATCAGGATCAGCAGGGAATACTAGTAAACGGGCCAGCATATCAAATGTGCCAGGGACAATGCAATGGGAAGGGAGACGGCAAGGTTTCTGGAAGGTAGAAATCAAGTCAAGCCTTGAGAAACAAAGCACAGAGGAACAGATAGAGATGTTGTGGTTTAAGGGATGAAAAACTGGCAGTTGTTACCTTGCTTTGGGGCCTCAGAAAGCTGGCCAACCACTGGGCACACTGTTAGCATCAGTAAGAATACAGAAGCGTGTGAACCCAGCGGAAGCGTAATGTCCTAGCCACTAAGACTCTGAACAATGCTAATGCATGTGGGCATTTTGGAAGGCAGTGGAAAAAGGACAAATGGTGTGGACAGGGATTCTCTAAAGAACAGAGAACTGTTTTTCTCCAATGCACAGTTGCAAATACTTACATCAGCTTTGCATGTTTTAAATAACTAGTTACCTGAGGTTGAGATAGACAGGAGTAAAGTTAATGTAGCGCAAAAATGAAATTAGGGGCCTAACTACGTGTTGCATTGTGTGTGAGCATATCCAGGAATTTAACAATGCAATCCTAGCAGCAGGATCAGGACAAATATTTGTATATTTGTGTGCGTACATATGTATATACAGGCAGTCCCTAAGTTATAAACGTCCGACTTACAAATGACTCATAGTTAAGAACAGGGGTTGGGGGGGGGGGCAGGGGACAATTCCATCTTGTCTCTTGGGCTATGCTAATAATAATAATAATAATAATAATAATAATAATAATAATAATAAACCTTTATTTATACCCCACTACCATCTCCCCAAGGGACTCGGTGCGGCTTACATGAGGCCGAGCCTGCAACACAGAATACAAGCAATATCAACAACAATACGTGCAATTAAAATAAATCACATAGACGATAACATAAGCGATTGACTATAGTACAACACACTTTTAAAATCTATGGCTAGGCCAAATGTAATTAAGATTTATTAAGATATAATAATATAATGTAATGTAATATACTACTACTACTACTAATATATTATAATAATATATTTATATTACATGTAATATTACTAATAATATTACAATATAATGGTATAGTACAATATAGTAATGTTTAATACTGATATTGTACAATGCTAATAATATAATATATTGTATGTATATATATCTTGTAAGCCTCTCTGAGTCCCCTTCGGGGTGAGAAGGGCAGCATATAAATGTCATAAATAAATAAATAAACAGGAAGTGAGAGAAATCTACCCTAGGAAGGGAAGAAAGGAAATCCACTCCTAAAAGAATTATTATGGGGGGGGGGGGGAGGTGTCTCCACTGAAGCTTTATCACCAATCTCTGTTTCCACAACACTCCAATTTTTTAAAAGTCCAATGATCACAGGAACAGAAAGTTAAGAGAAATCTTCTGAACAGTGGCAGAGACAGCAAAAGAAACATAACATCACAGGGGTGATGCTATCCAAAGCTTAAAGGGCTGGGCTGGTAGCACAGCTGGTTAATCAGCTGCAATAAATCACTGCTGAATAAAAGGTGGCAAATTCAAAGCCTGAGTCAGGGTTCAGCGCCTGACTATTAATAGCTGTTTAAAAAAATGCCCAGCTTACTGTCCACCTAAGCAGTTCGAAAACAGCTGTGACGGTGAGTAGAGTAATTAGGGACCGCTTAAAGCGGGGAGGTTAATTTATGACACCATAAAAATGCCAGAGAGCAAGGAGGAAATACTACAATAAAAAAGGCTTGGCGTCATAGTGGATGAAGTGACAGCTCCCCCTGTGGCTGAATCGCGCAACCTCCAGGATCCGAAGTGGAAGAACTGCTGAATGGCCTCTATCTGTCTGTATGTCTTGTGCGTCAAAAACGGCACTGAATATTTGCCGTGTATATGTACATTGTGATCCGCCCCGAGTCCCCTTCAGGGTGAGAAGGGAGGAATATAAATACTGTAAATAAATATATAAATAATACATTCAATATTAATATATCCAAATATATTTGGCTGGGGTTATACTTAAAATGTACCTATTCCAACTTATAAACAAATTCTACTTCAGAACAAAAACCTTCAGAACAAAACCTACAGAACTGATCTTGTTTGTAACTTGGGAATTGCCTGTACATATATAAGACCCAACTATTGTTATGTGTCTTCAAGTTGATTTGGGAATTCCAGATACTGTAAGTGATGCTCAACCTGTATTTGCCTTCCTCTTTCCTTTTTCCACAAAGTAGCTCTCTCTCTCATGTTTTCTCTACACAACAATTCTCTGTGTATGCCATGTCCTTGGAAAATGAGCTAATAAGAAGTTACTGGTGATTATAATGATTTTTACATGGTTTTTATAATGTGCCTTTTAAATTTTGTTTTATGATCATTGTGGCATCGAACTGTGCCAGTGTAAGCCACTTTGGGTCGCCTTTGGGCTGAGAAAGGCGGCATAGAAATGCAGTAAATAAATAAATAATGGTCTGGGAAGGAGTTGGATGTGTAGTGCAACTGAAGATGGAGATGAGAGGTTTGATGCCAATGCATTTTCCAAAAGGGACGAGAGCTTCAGTTAACATGCTGGACTACGTCTTTTTAAGTGTGTGCATGCTTAAACATTGCCCAGACGCAGGGGAACTAGTAACTTACTACAAATACAAAGCCAGGTGAAAAATGGAATGCTTATGTTTATATGGTCAAAGAAAGGGATCGAAAAATGTCTCATTCTTGTCAGGGTGTTAAATTTCAGTTGGTGGTCCTTGGAATTCAGGGAAATGTTTCCAGAAGTTGCAAGTGCATGGAACTTCAGTGAGTGACGAACAGGACCAAGATTTAGGGAAGGTGCAACTCCCATTCTGTCCTCACAATATGCACACACATATATGCACACGCACACACGCACACACATATATGGGAAATTAATTTTGGCAGCTATGGCCCTGGATCCATATGTCTATGGTCAGCAGATTCCTACCTTTCTCCTCTATTGGCAAATCACAAATAAATATTCCCTTTATATAGGGATTCCCAGCGTTAGACAGCCATCATGGATGGTTAAAGGCAATAAGATATACTTACAGCCATAATTTCTAAAACCATTGTCCCCAAAGTGGCAATTTAAGTTTGATTTCAAAGATAATGGAGATTGGCTGCTCCTAGAACTTGAAAATGTTAATTTTTTGTATAACAATTCCCAGACTCCCCTGGCCAGTATGGTCAAGGGCCACACTTATTGGGGCTTTATGGGATTTGTAGCCCCCAAAAGTAATTTGTCCAAGCTCCACCCTATCCTGGTCCCATCCCACCCACCATGCCAAGTGTCTCCTGACAATCCCTCACTTAATGTGGCCCAAATGAGGGAATAAAAGGCTGTAATTCAGCCTGTATGCACCACAGGGCACAGATAACACAAAGTGGTGCAGGTGCCTACAGATAGACTACCTGTTGTTGTCCCTGGATGCGCATGTATTCCATGCGTTGTTTTATGTGTTTGCTTTTGTCTGGGCTGCCTTGCTGGGTTTGCTTCAGTCGTGATGCTGGGTTGACCATCTTCATGGCTGGAATCGCCATACCACCACCGCTCTGCAAAAAGAAGAGATGAAAACATAGTATTGAAGAAAAGTTAAAGGACAAAACTTTGGAAAGTGTATGTAATTGCCTGTTTTTTTCTGCATGGCTTGCCATTCAATGGCCGTGCTGCTTCACTGTATAGAAATGAAATAGCTACCCCTTATCACATCTTGGGGATCTCCCCTATACTCTGCTTGACTGAAGATACAGTGGGGGGGGGGGGGAAGTATTTCGTCAGATACCAACTGTACAAGTTCTCCCACTTAAAAAGACGAGAGAGGCCTGTAATTGACATCATAGGTAGACCTCAACTATGAGAGACAACATGAGAAAACACATCCAGAAAATCATTGTCTTATTTGTAACAAATTTATTTGCAAGTTATGGTGGAAAATAAGCATTTGGTCACTTACAAACAAGCAAGATTTCTGGGTCTCACAGACCTGTAACTTCTTCTGTAAGAGGCTCCTCTATCCTTCACTCATTACCTGTAGTAATGGCACCTATTTGAACTTGTTATCAGTATAAAAGACACCTGTCCACAACCTCAAGCAGTCACACTCCTAACTCCACTATGGTGAAGGCCAAAGAGCTGTCGAAGGACACCAGAAACAAAATTGTCATCCTGCACCAGACTGGGAAGACTGAATCTGCAATAGGCAAGCAGCTTGGTGTGAAGAAATCAACTGTAGGAGCAATAATTAGAAAATGGAAGAGATACAAGACCACTGATAATCTCCTTCAATCTGGGACTCTGCACAAGATCTAACCCCGTGGGGTCAAAATGATTATAAGAACAGTGAGCAAAAATCCCAGAACTGAACGGGGGAACCTAGTGAATGACCTGCAGAGAACTGGGACCAATGTAACAAAGACTACCATCAGTAACACGCTACGCGGCCAGGGACTCAGATCCTGCAGTGCCAGACGTGTCCCCATGCTTAAGCCAGTACATGTCAGGGGCTGATTGAAGTTTGCTAGAGAGCATTTGGATGATCCAGAAGAGTATTGGGAGAATGTCATATGGTCAGATGAAACCAAAGTAGAACTGTTTGGTAGAAACACAACTCGTCGTGTTTGGAGGAGAAAGAATGCTGAGTTGCATCCAAAGAACACCATACCTACTGTGAAGCATGAGGGTGGCAACATCACACTTTGGGACTGTTTCTCTGCAAAGGGACCAGGGCGACCAATCAGTATACATGAAAGAATGAATGGGGCCATGTATTGTGAGATTTTGAGTGCAAACCTCCTTCCATCAGCAAGGGTACTGGAGATGAAATGTGGCTGGGTCTTTCAACATGACAATGATCCCAAGCACACCGCCAGGGCAATGAAAGAGTGGCTTCATAAGAAGCATTTCAAGGTCCTGGAGTGGCCTGGCCAGTCTCCATATCTCAACCCTATGGAAAACCTTTGGAGGGAGTTGAAAGTCCGTGTTGCCCAGTGACAGCCCCAAAACATCACTGCTCTTGAGGAGATCTGCATGGAGGAATGGGCGAACATACCAGCAACAGTGTGTGCCAACCTTGTGAGGACTTACAGAAAACATTTGACATCTGTCATTGCCAATAAAGGATATATAACAAAGTATTGAGATGAACTTTTGTTATGGACCAAATACTTATTTTCCACAATAATTTGCAAATAAATTCGTTACAAATTAGATAATGTGATTTTCTGAATGTGTTTTTTCATGTTGTCTCTAATAGTTGAGGTCTACCTATGATGTCAATTACAGGCCTCTCTCGTCTTTTTAAGTTGGAGAACTTGTACAATTGGTATCTGACTAAATACTCCCCCCCTCCCCGCACTGTATCATGAATGCTCCCAAACAGTCTAACTACTCAGAAGGAGAGTTTTCTCTTCCTGAATCCAGATAAAAGAGTGGACATTGTTCAATCAGACCTGCTTCAACATGGTGAGTGTATACGCCACAAACTCTGTGACTAAGTACAAGATTTTTCCACCAAAGATGAGCAGAGTCTCTTCCTTCCCATGGTCCCCTACTGTGAATTTCATAGCTATGACCATTTTTACCTGATAGAAAAAGAAGTGTTTCCTGATTACTCTAGAGGTTCATTAAATCAGTCTTTCCCTTACAGATTCAAGACACAGCTAATTTTTAAATGACTCTGTGATCTTTTCCTCATCCCCACCCCAGTTCCTTTGCTATTCTGGAAAAGTACAAGAGGTTTAGGGAATAGAAAAGGATTTGATGAAGGGTCAGAGAAGAGTCACAATCACAAAATCACAGCTGAATAGCAGAAAATGAGAAAAGAGAAGAGAAAGTGTTATTTTCAGCATGTAGGTGCCTTCACGCATTGACCCTGATCCATATGTGGAATCCCTACAAGTAAGGCTATTGTGCTTCACAATCATAGTAAGGCTTCTTCACATCTCCTTCCTTTTTGCCTCACACACATACACAAGCAGGGACCTGAAACAGCTCACAACCAAACACTTGCATAAACACATTAACAACTGTTTAATTTGCAATTATAATTAGATACACTTGTCTAAAACAGTGCCAAACGATTAAGATCAAAGTAAAGCCCAGTCAAGTCTAGGAAAAACGGCAACATTTCTACTATCTTCCAAAAATCCTGAAGGGCTCAAAAAGTTAGAAGTTAAATGCTAGCTCAACATCTGAAACAGAATCCAAATGCTTGCTACCATCTCCAATTAGTGACAGCGGTCTTTCTGTGCTATTCAGATCCAAATTCTTGCCCGTAGCTTATGGAACATGGCCATACAGCCCTGAAAATTCATAGCAACCCACTAACCTTTAATTGGTATTAAAGCAAATCTTCTGCATTTCCTAATTATGTCTGAAGCCCAGTTTAAAATGTGGGCTGGAGGTTTAGCACAGCTGGTTCGAAGCCTCGGGTTGGCATGAGCTGCCAAGTGTCAGCCTAGCTCATTGTTTACTTAAGCAATTCAAAAACAGCTCCAGCTATGATTAGAGAAATTAGGTACCGCTAAAAGCAGGGGAGGTGTTTTACGACGCCATAAAGAAATAAGATCAGAAAATGCTGGGCGACCAAAAGGAAGGAGGAAATCCTGAAGGCTCTTCATCATAGAGGATGGAGCAACAGCACCTCCTGGACTCGAGCCCAACCTTCCATGGCACCTCCTTCTGTTCTGTCTGTCTGTGTATTGTCTACACAAAGTGGCATTGAATGTTTGCCGCCCTGAGTCCCCTTTGGGGTGAGAAGGGTGGAATATAAATAAAGTGTTGTTGTTGTTGTTGTTATAGAAATGAATATCCCATGCTGGATGTGTTTTTAAAAGTATCTATTGCTGGTTTCCATGTGAGTAGTGTCCTGTTTAAATCAGGTTGCTCTTTCATATATGTACAATTTTAACATCCCAGAATCCCATTACCCAGTGCCATAAGACTGCATTATAGATTGAAACCAATGACCCAGTTTAAATATGGAATCAGCCCCATGTAATCTCTTTACATTGCTACAATCACTTTTAAACTGCACTTCAAGTCACATGGAAATTTTCAGGGTCACTTGCAAAAATGCCCTTACTCTGTCAAAGCTTAGAAAGGAAAACAGCACGGAAAATGCTAAATCAAAGGAAAGTACCTCTCGAGACTGAGAATATCCATGGGATATTCATCTATTTAGCATTTATCTACCTTTGGGAGATTTACGGCAATGTCAGAAAACACTCTTCCTGTTCTTGGTACCAGCTGTGAAAATGTTTGTTCATTTGGCTTTTACTTCTGGATTTTATCATTGTCTTATGTGATTTTAGATGCATAACTAAATATGACATACTACACAGTACTGTAATGCCATCTAATTTCCTACATAATCTTTGGTCATCTGTGTTTGGTGCTACTACCCTTCTTTTATGCTATTAGAATTTTAGAGATGTCTGTTTCTCATGCTTGGCCTTTGATTTCTGTTCTTAATTCCCATGTTCAGATCATCTTATCTGCTTCTTAATTTCATCATTTATCTCCTCTGTTGAGCAGTCATCTCTTCCATCTTTTACTTCTTATATTTAAGGCATGACATGTTTTTGGTTCCTAATGGCTTACTTATATGGCATCTTGTTCATTTCTGTCTTATTCCCTCTATTTTTCAAAATCTTGTACTATTGCTGAAGCCACTTATTTCTGCTTCCTGTATTTATACCATCTGTTTCTCTTCTCTTTCTCTTACTATTGAATTTTTTTGTCGTTTTATACATCATGCTGATAGCTACACTCCTCCTTCATATGGATCATTGTATAACTGCCTCTTTCCTTTTGGCCTTTTTCTTCTGACTTCTGACAACCATCTTTTCATCTGGCAGTTGATAAAAGCCTCCATCTACATGATAGGACACCTGCCATGCTATTTTTATTTGACTGGTTTCTTCTTTTCACTGTCTCTCCTCATTTTCATGTGTTTGGAGACTGCAAATCTTCAGCAAAGACTTTTTTTCTTTACTTCTGTTCATCTGTTACAACAATAAACCATTGGTGATGATGTAATAATAATAATAATAATAATAATAATAATAAAAATAATAATAAACTTTATTTATACCCTGCCACCATCTCCCCAAAGGGAGTGATACTGGACTCATCGCTGAGACTGGAACCCCAGGTTTCGGCAGTGGCCAGGGGAGCTTTGGCACAGTTAAAGCTTGTGCGCCAGCTGCGCCCATACTCTGGGAAGTCTGACTTGGCCGTGGTGGTCCACATTCTGGTTATATCCCGAATAGACTACTGGAAAGCACTCAACATGGGGTTGCCTCTGACGTCTGCCCGGAAGTTCCAACTAGTCCAATGCTCGGTAGCCAGGTTGCTCATGGGAGCGGGGTACAGGGAGTGCACAACTCCCTTGTTACGCCAGCTCTGCTGGCTGCCAATTAGCTTCCAAACACAATTCAAAGTGCTGGTTTTAACCTACAAAACCCTTTATGGTTCTGGCCCAGGTCACCTGTCCGAACATATTCTCCCCTATAAACCATCAAGGGCATTAAGATCTTCCAGAGAGGCCCTG